TAACCAAGTAACACGAACAAAAACAAACACTAAAAGTCACAAAATGTCTAGTCATTCATCGAAGTTGTAGAACAAGGTCCCCATACATCTGAATGCACCAAATCAAAAGCACAACTACTCCTATTACTATAAATAACATAAAAGCTCCTGATATGCTGACCCAACTCACAAGCATCACACACAAGTTCATGTTTATTTGCATTTTCATACAAAGAAGAATAAAAATGGCTTAATAGACGCAACAAAGAGTGTCATATGCACCAATTATGTAGCAACAACGCATCGTTCACACTCTCAAATCCTCTTACTACAGCACTCTCTACCATGGATGTCAAAGATGAGTCTATCCCCTATCTATCTAAGTACCAGAGTTTACTGTACCACTTGCTAGTCCCAAGTCTCCGACCAATCACCTTCACTCGAAAGATCAACTTAAGAATATCAAAGAACACAATACATTTTAGTTGGAGAATAATGACGCTAATGGATAAAAGGTTTACTGTAAATGAAGGAGCATGAAAAATATTGGACAAAGTCATTGAGTCGGTACACCTTACAGTACTCTTACCAAACATAGGTTGTACTATCAGCGACCTGAATGCTCTATAGAACTGCTAGATGAGAGAAATCGCTAGCTTTACCTATCACATGTCGAGATGCTTCAGAATCAACGATCCATTCTGGTGATCTTATGGTGAATACAGAGACAAGAGCATCTGTATGACGAGTGCATTTGGCTAACTGAGCATAAGTAGCAATGTTCCCCTTTGATGATGATAAAACGAATGTATCCTCAGTCACATTACCTACTACTCTCTACTTTCTCTTCAACATCTCCAGCAACTCATGATCCTTATAGGTAAAGACCGCACTTGTCTCTCCATCATTTTTTGCTACCATTAGATTTGTCCGGTAGCCACCTTTTCCACCCCTTTGACCTCCACAATTACCACAACCTCTAAACTATCCACATCCACCCGTCTCCTTCTCTTTGGGTGGCTTTGGAAGCTTTGCTCAGGTGTCTCACTTCTCCACAATTGTAGCACTTGTGGGTCTAACCCTGCGCAAATGTCATATTTGAGCTTGAGGCAGCCAAAGTTGATCGCGTACCTGGAAGTCCACTCAGCTCAGAGTGTAGCCTTATGTAACTCTCCTCCCATATCATTGCAGCGATGGCCTCATCCAGTGAAGGAATAGTTGCCTAAGTGGAAGGACATATCTCCTTTGATCAAAGGTTGAGTTTTAATGAGCCAAAAATTGCATAGCCATCATCTGTGCAAAGATTTCCCCCTACTTGCACCCCTGATCACCACAACTCGACATAGGTGAGAAGTGATCAAGCTCTTGCCACAACCGCTCCAGCTCTATGGAATACTCCTAAATTGATGTACCATCTTGTATCACAGCCTCTATGTCAAGTTGAATCTGGAACACTCTCATATGGTTCTTAGTCCCAGCACGGGTCTTCTTCAGCTTTGCCAAGATATCCTTCACCTTTCGAATGTCATTTACTGATGAGGCAATCGATGGAACGAGTTAAGAAGCTATGTGTAAAGTGAGGCATGTGTGGTCCTCCACTCATCCCCCTTAGCACTGTCACTCTCCGACTCAGTCTTGACTCCAACCAATTATCTCGCCAGTTACTTCCCTAATATAGCAGCCTCGAACTGGCACGACCAACTCAGATATGTGTTCGGTCCATTAAGCTTCAGATCCACATGAGTGGGATGTAGTTTCACCTGAGTCGGAGCATGTGTTGAGATAGTGGCTCCAGTCAAGATGTTAGCTCCATGTATGAGCTCAGTCAAGATCTTCAAAATCTTTGGATTTACCTTTCCAAGAAGCTCCACTCCTTTACCACCTGCGTCTTCTCCTTCTCCTGACATCCTTACATGAAATTACCATGGCATTCCTCCGAACCAACAACAACAACAACAACAAAGCCTTAATCCCACTTCGTGGGGTCGGTTACATGAATCTTTTTTCTCCATTGCGTCCTATTTAGAGTCATATTTTCATTTAGTTCTAATAAATTAAGATCATTTTTTATACAATAAGCCCAAGCCTTCTCAGGTTTACCTCTGCCTTTCTTAACATAAGTTGAATCTAAAATATCTACTCTCCTAATCGATCATCAGATGGTTAACGCTTAATGTGATCAAACCATCTAAGACTACTTTCTCTAACTTTGTCCGCCACCAGAGCTTACACCAACCCTATCACGAATATATTCATTTCGCATTTTGTCTCTAAGTGTAAAGCCACTCATCCACCTAATAAATCTCATCTTGGCAACACTTAACTTAGCATTATGCTTCTCTTTTAAATGTCAACATTCAGCGGCATATAGCATTGCAGGTCTCACCATCGTCTTATATATATTTTTTTTTTCAGTCTAAGTGGTACTTTTCTATCACACAAAAGGCCCAAAGCACTCCTCCACTTCAACCAACCAACTTGAATTCTACTATTAGCATCCTCATCTATATCACCATCGCTTTGAACAACAGACCCAAGATATCTACATCAATCACACATTTTAATAATTTGATCACCCTAAGTTGCACTTTTGTCACTAGAGCTACTACTACTAAAATTACCTTCCATGTATTCACGATCATCAGATGGTTAACGCTTAATGTGACCAAACCATCTAAGACTACTTTCTCTAACTTTGTCCGCCACCAGAGCTTACACCAACCCTATCACGAATATATTCATTTCGCATTTTGTCTCTAAGTGTAAAGCCACTCATCCACCTAATAAATCTCATCTTGGCAACACTTAACTTAGCATTATGCTTCTCTTTTAAATGTCAACATTCAGCGGCATATAGCATTGCAGGTCTCACCATCGTCTTATATATATTTTTTTTTTCAGTCTAAGTGGTACTTTTCTATCACACAAAAGGCCCAAAGCACTCCTCCACTTCAACCAACCAACTTGAATTCTACTATTAGCATCCATCTATATCACCATCTATATCACCATCGCTTTGAACAACAGACCCAAGATATCTACATCAATCACACATTTTAATAATTTGATCACTCTAAGTTGCACTTCTGTCACTAGAGCTACTACTACTAAAATTACCTTCCATGTATTCAAGTTTAGTTCTACGCAAATGAAGGCCTTTAGACTCGTTTTCACCTGTTCCCTTTGTCCTAGCTTGCATAGAACCGTAACCTACCATCCCATTCTTGTCTTCCTCCACGATCCACTGTTCTCACAACCAAGGCCCCACAGACGCGTCAGCTCCTTCGCACAGGGCCGCTCCCTCGCACAATGTCGCACCACTCTACCAGTTTCTCACAATCCGATCTAGCAGCTTCGTGACCACCTTTGTGACCGAACCCTAAGGGATTACATATCACTGGGAAAATTGCAATGAAGACGTGAGCCGCTGGGGTAGGCTCTGATCCCAAAAAGATTTTGCTCAAAATGAATAATTCTTCTATTCATGAAAGGCATGGGCTAGCCTTAAAACTTCTTTACAACTACAACACTATTTATAAATAGGACCCAAAAATATATAAAATTCTCAAGAGAGAGAAGGTATTCCAAAGAGTCCTATCAAAAGCCCTCATCTCTCATTTCATTATGAAAAGAACACCCATATTGAACACTTCACGACAGCCACCTACAGCATACATCAAAGCGAAGTTCTAAGAACTCTGTTTCTCCACTTCTCCTTTTTCCTCTCCTTACATTTTTCTCTTTCAATCAACTAAGGAGCTAAATTTTTTCTCCTATAAATGAATGATTTTGTAGTCTTTTCTTTTCATCTGCTTCTAAGAAACCACCAAATGCAAGATGTAAAAAATAATAACTTGTCATCATTAATCTCCTTTGCCTTTTTGGGCACCCTAGAAACAATGTTGTTTATCTAGAAATTAGCAACCATGCTTAAAAATATTGAATATCTTAACTTTGGAAATGTATGGAGAGGAAGAAAATAGTTTCCTTGAATATGTCCTGCATTCTGGTCGTCCGGCACAGTTGATCCACCATATATTATGACAGACAAATAATCCACTGAATGATTTGCATGATTTACTATCCTACCTAGGCATCTTCAGGACACTACTCTTTGGGGGATAATATTTCACAACACACGGGTATTGATGGCAGGTTTCCGAATTTCAGATTTAACATAATGAATTTTAGGAATCATTTTATGAACTTAATGAATTCATTTAAAGATTGTACTTCTTTTTATGAGCACTTTAAGGGGAGCTTGGGCCATTGGTTGTCAAAATATTAGCACAAATTACCCTTGGTTTCATTTGTAAAGTCAGTTTTGAAGAAGGAATAGTAAATTGCTGCCTTTGAAGCTTTCTTCTATGTCAGTCTTCCTCCTCTACTTAAAGCATGGATTCCATTTTGTCAAGCTGTGCCTCTCCAAGTAATTTGGTGATCTAAGATGTGATTAACCATTATTCTGATTGTTTTCTCCGTGTTTACCCTACTTTTCCCTTAACCTTTCCCATTCCAATTCTCCACGAGCATGATTAAGCTCTCACCCCTTCTAATCATTGCAATTCCATTCCGTTTATTATGTTCTGCTTTCTTCCTCAAAAGACTGAGTGTTAATGAGACGACCAACTAAGCCACTGATTGATCCAGACAAGAGCAGTTGCCAGCTTCAGTGTACATGTATTCAAAAACAGCAAACAGGAAGAGGTTCATATATAACTTTCACATTAGCACGAAAAAAAAAACAAAATTGGCATTTACCAAGAGCTATCATTATGAGGAGTTGCGTTTAGTAAAAGGATGGAAATTATTGGATGTTTTGAAATGTACATAAGTAATAAAAGCATCTTATGCACATTCCCTCAGAAAACCGTTTTAAACATCAACTAAAAAATCTCTAAACTAGGAATCATCTTCAATTTCCAAAAAAAAAAAATATTTATGAAAGCAACAGATTTGCATGTAACAAAATATTAGATCTTCGTACATGAGAAAATTAGTATGGACAAAAGAAAGTATACCAGTGAATGAACGTGCGTGTTTAGAATCAGAATTGGGGTTCACTTCTATAGCATTGTCAGCTTGGACTTTCACTTCAATGTCACTTTTCTGTATGCTGCAACCAGCATTAGAGTAGAGTACAAATGTTATTTGCCAAGCACAAGTCAGTAAACGCTTACGGAAATAACATGAGCAATTGAACCAAATCCAACACGCAACCTAATGTTTTAACTAAAGATACTGTGAACATTTCTGATTTTTTTAAGCCAATAGATTAAGTTCATTCTTAAAAAGACTTTTACATAACACTGCCCTTGCCGGTCCCAAGCCCGGATGTAAAAAATGGAGGGTTGCATTAGGTAGTCGACAGCCAGAGTAAAACTTGTCTAAAAAAATCATGACATGAATCTTTTTGATCTTTGTGTAAGTGTTAGGGCGTCCTCTGACAGCTTGAATACAGTGAAAAGTGTGCAAGGGTCGCTACACCGGCGCTCGGGTGTAGTGTCAAATAAGCAAGGTCTCCCACATTACGGATGGATGCGGGTAAAGAAGTTAGTTCATAAAACTAATAAAATTAATATTATGATAGGATCTTGGAATATAGGTACTCTCAATGGTAAATTAATGAAATTAGTTGATATTATGATTCATAGAAAGATTAATATCTTATGTATTCAAGAAACTAAATGGGTTAGAGAAAAGGCTAAGAAGATTGATAACTTAAGTTTTAAACTTTGGTATTCTGGTAAGAGTCGCACTAGAAATGGTGTAGGTGTAATTATGGATAAGAGTTTGAAAGATAATGTTGTAAAAATTAATAGAGTTGGAGATAGAATTATAGCCCTTAAGATTATCATTGATACTAACATTTTTAATATTATAAGTGCTTATGCTCCTCAAATAGCTTTAGATATAGGGTCTAAAGATAATATCTAGAATGACTTAGAAGACTTAATTCAAATGTAACCTCTTGAAGAAAGAATTTTTATTGGAGGGGATTTAAATGGACATGTCGGTAGAATGGTAGAAAATTTTAGAAATATTCATGGTGGCTACGGTTTTGGAGTGACTAATGAAGAAGATAGAGCTATTTTATAGTTTGTTTTAGTGTACAATTTTGTTATTACTAATACTGTATTCAACAAAAGAGATGGGCATCTTATTACTTATAAGAATGGATCTAATAAAACACAAATTGATTATTTTCTTATGAGAAGAAGAGGTCGTCAAGATTGTAAAGATTGTAAGGTTGTTCCAAGTGAAGATTTAAGCACCCAACATCATTTATTAGTTCTTGATTTTAAGATGAAGAGTTGTAAAATAAAGAATACTATGACTCATCATCGTAGAATTAGATGGAAGAACCTAAAAGACACAAATAAAATTATTTTTATGAATAAAATTCAAGATTTCAAAATTTGGGATGTTCATGATGAAGCAAATGCTATCTGGGATAAAGTAACAAACACTCTTAAACAAGTAGCAAAAGATGTACTTGGAGAATAAAAAAAAAAGTTTCTTCAAATAAAAATTGTTGGTGGTGGAATAATAATGTGCAAGAAAAGATAAAAAAATAAGAAGTTATGTTATAAAAATTGGTTTAAATGTAAAAGCTTAGAGAACTGGGAAAAATATCAAACAGCACGCAGGGAGTCTAAACGCTAAAAATTTTGTTTTTAGTGATCTTTATAATAGTTTAGATACTAATGAGGGTGAAAAATATATGTATAAACTAGCCAAACAAATAGAAAATAAAAGTAAAGATTTAACTCAAGTAAAGTGTATTAAAATTGAAAATCAAAAAGTGTTTTTCTTAGAAAAATATATTCAACATAGATGGGTGAGTTATTTTGATAAACTATTTAATGAAGTTTATGAAAATACAATCGACCTTAGCGATCTTAATACCCTCAATACTAATAAAACGTTTCATTTTTAAAGTCGCATTAGTAAAAAAGTTGGTGAGGATTTAACGAAAACCAAGGGTGGAAAGTTTGTAGGACCTGATGATATCCCCATTGAAGTATGAAAATGTTTAGGAGATTTGGAAGTTTCATGACTCACTAAACTCTTCAATATTATTTTAAAAACTAAAAGATGTCTGAGGAGTGGAGGAAAAGTATTTTGGTCCCATTTTTAAGAATAAAGGGGATGCACAAAGGTGTGCAAATTATAGAGGAATTAAGTTGATGTGTCATACTTTAAAATTGTGGGAGAGGATAATTGAACATCGGTTAAGACGTATTACAAAGATTTCTCATAATTAATTTGGATTTATGTTGGGCAGCTCTACTATGGAAGCTATACATTTATTGAGAAGTTTGATGGAGAAGTTCAAAGATAATAACGAGAATCTACATTTGATTTTTATTGATTTAGAAAAAGCTTTCAATAAGGTCCCTAGAGATATCAATTGGAGAGTTCTTGAGAGGAAAAGTGTTGATATGACTTATATTCAAGTCATTAAAGATATGTATACTAGAGTTGTTACTTGTGTTCGAGCTGAAAGATGATTGACCAAATATTTTCCTATTTATGTTGGATTACATCAGGGATCGGCTTTAAGCCCATATCTTTTTGCTTTAGTTATGAATGGTCTTACTGGACATTTACATAAGGATGTACCTTGGTTTATGTTTTTTGCTGATGATATCCTTCTCGTGGATAAGACGAGAGAAAAAGCTCAGGAAAAACTTGAATTATGGAGGTCTACATTGGAGTCTAAAGGCCTTCATTTGAGTAGAACTAAAACTAAATACATGGAAAACGTATAACTTTGGGTTATTAAAAGGTGTGAACGATGTAGATATCTCGGGTCTGTTGTTCAAAGCGATGGTGATATAGATGGAGATGTTAATAATAGAATTCAAGTTGGTTAGTTGAAGTGGAGGAATGTTTCAGGCCTTTTGTGTGATAGAAATGTACCGCTTAGACTGAAAGGAAATTTTATAAGATAGTGGTGAGACCTGCAATATTTTATGGTGTTGAATGTTGGCCTTTAAAAGAGAAGCATAATACTAAGTTAAGTCTTGCCAACATGAGAATGATTAGGTGGATGAGTGGCTTTACACTTAGAGACAAAATGCGAAATGATTATATCCGTGTTAGGGTTGGTGTAGCTCCTGTGACGGACAAAATTAGAGAAAGTCGTCTTAGATGGTTTTTTCACATTAAGCGTCGACCATCTGATGATCTGATTAGGAGAGTAGATGTTTTAGATTCGACTTATGTTAAGAAAGACAAAAGTAGACCTAGGAAGACTTGGGCTTATTGTATAAAAAATGATCTTAATTTATTAGAACTAAATAAGACGCAATGGAGAAAAAGGATTCATGTAGCCGACCCCACGTAATGGGATTAAGGCTCTGTTGTTGTTGTTAAAAAGACTTTTACATACATTGCCATAGCATCAATATCATCATCATTACTCTTATCCCAACTATTCAAGGTCAGCTTTATAAATCCTCATTCTCATTCCATTCTTATTGTGATACCAGGGTTAACCCAGAATCACAAAAGAAACGAAAATATTATTGTTGAAATTCAAATAGTTTACAACAACAACACTTCAAAATAGGAAATAAACGATAAAAAACATAAAAAGACACTTTAGGCCAACAGCAAAGGGATGAGTGTCGGCTAGCCAGCAGGTAGAGATGCTGATGGGAGGTGGTGGTGGCAGTCGATTGCTTGGAAGGTAGTTCGAGAAGTAAGTGGAAGGCAGGGGAAAGGTGGCAGGGGAAAGGTGGCAGGGGACTGTCAGGGAGTTTGGAGGGTTGGCGGCACCCTGTGGAGACTGGAGGGTCTGGGAGGGCAGCAGGATAGAGGGCTAGAAGGGAATAATGGTTGAGAGGAACTGGTAGGGTGAAGAAACGATTGCAATCCAGGGGAGGCTGACTGAATGGGAAGACTGGAGGAGGGGATTTAGGGAGGGAATGAGAAACTTGAGAGTGGTCACAACATGAAGGCAAACAACTTTTTACTTCTTATATGTTTTTATTTACCTAATTTCATTTTAAGGCAAACAACTTTTTACATTTCACCTTCTTATATCACTCCATAATTAATAGTTAGTGTTCTATCATATATATCTTTAATAATATCAATATAACTTAGAGACACATCTCAACCTTATTTCAACCTTAATGTGCACCTCATCAATTATAAATGATTATCACAGCATAAGCATACTAAATAACTACTAGCATAATTAAATAAAAATTTCAAGTTTCCTTGGGAAAATTGATCAAGTAAATCACATAATATGACTATCTAAACGTGAAAAATGAGTACCTTTGCTCAGATGGTACGACAATCTCAGACAGAGAAGTTATTGTTTTAGTAAAAGAATCTCCTGAAATGAATTAAAATCAACTTTAATCCGGGAAAAAAAAAGGTTGATGGCGGAACAAAGAAGATTGAACCTAGTTAAAGAACATTAAGCACAACAAAAAAATATAGGTTGTTCTATTGAGTTCTGAAGTCACCGTTTCCTAGAGCTGCAGAAACCAAAGCATCAGAATCCTGAATAGCAGGAATCATTCTGTGCCTTGGTTACAGAAGTAAAATCGACACCCTTAATTTAGATAAAATATGTTAGCGTCATTTGATAATTGATATAATAACTGTCATGAACAGCATAATATGTCCAGAAACAAAAATTCCCTGAACGTGAGATAACAAGTGTAAACAAAAATGTTGCTTCCCTATCTGATTTACCTTATTTTGCCTTGCTATAGGCTTATTAACATCATAGCAATACATGGCCAAAAAGTCAGGAGACAAATACTTGGGAGTTTCCATTGCAGCAAACTCGGCCCTAGTGATGCGTTGAGAAAGCTCCTCATATGTTTCCCTCTGGTCACCAACCTCAGGAGCTTTTCTATCATGCAATTTAAGATATTCATCTGAAGAAATTTCTCCAGAAGACACATCCGCAATTAGATAGTACATAAGGAAAAATTTAGAAAAATAATAACACTAGTACCAGCAAGTTGATAGCCAAAGCTTGGAGTTGCTGATGTTGCTCTAGAATGCTCAAGTGCTAAAGGCCCTGTGGTTGAACTTGTTTTCCTCCACTTAGTAATTCTTGGTTCATTATATATTGATTTGAAAGAAATTGTAGAGTTCTCTTTCGGGTCCCAAGTTCGAGTGGCAGCATAATCCCTTTTTCCTACCTGAACACAGATTTAGATAAGTGAACCATATGTAAGGCAGTGGTAATATGTAACTAATAAGCCATGCCACAATATGTTCAAAATTTCTTAATAAAATGCTTGAAATATGTTCATGGGAAGACAAACAACAATAAGTCTGTGTTACAGATTCTGAGAGCTACTATGATCGACAATGTGATTCTTACATATAGTATATATAGACAACGTGATTCTTATGCATAGAATATACTCAAAATTGCAACAGAACAATTAACATGTTACATCAACGATACATTTTTGTCTTCTGCCAGGGATCAATAACGCTTTGCATCCGTTAAATAATGACAGCGTACACCAACTACTCGATCACTCAAAGTTTTCAACGTTACCAAGACCAAGTTATGTAAAAGGATCATAGATTCAGAAACTTCAAATATTATTTTGAGCATTCCAACTTTTCAGCACTCTGCTTTAAAAGTGCCTGCTTGACCAAATCTTTAAAGCGGTTCTCTTAACATTTTTGGTTGGCTTGACATAATCTAGAACAAGTTCATCAAAAAATAGATCCGCATGCATTGTGTCAATGCAGTACAGGTAACTGAGGCATTGGTAAATGAAACTGGGACTGACAACTTGACTCAAATAAAGCATAAAGCTTGAAAATTGGGTTAAATTTTTTACTCTATTAAAAATCAAAAGCCAACTAAGGTGCTAGGTCAGACAAATGCATAAGCATGTATGAATGCATGTACATATTTACATAAAACCCTCCCCAAACCATGCATTGGTCGGAACTTCATGTGTTGTTTATGCCTTTTCATCCATTTATGTCACTACTTATCTATATTTTGTTTAATGTATTATGGACTATTGGATTCAAATATAGAAAATCAATCATAAATATGAGGACATGCTCGAAATAACCGCTGGACTATTTGTAGGAGGGCCATTATAGTCACAAATTTTTAAAATATCCAATTTAGTCTCTCCACTTCTCAAATATAATATATAATTATCCTACAGTTACAATCAATTTTGGAATTGATGGAAATTTCACAAAAAATTCATGAATGATCAAAAAGCAAAACCTTCATTTACCAAAATAATCCTCATTCACAACCTCGTTCGTGAATTTTGGGGGAAATTTTCCATCAAGTTAAATAAAGATTCTAATTGTGAAGTTATTTTAGGCCATATTTAAAAAATTAAGAAACTAACTTCATACTTTAAATAGTTTGAATTAAAATGATCCCTTGTAAATATTTCTACGACAATTTTAACCATTCTCTCAATCAAAAAAAATATTTTAATTTGGCTTAAATCAAGTTTTGATGAAAATAAAAAGCCCCACCTAGCTCAAATCAAGATAAATTAGAGCCAACCAATTGCTATGGCCAAGGTGGATTAATGTCACTTCGAATGGTTTTGAACCAATATCAAGTTAGAGTAGGATCAATTCAAGAATAGACCTTTCTCACCCTGTTATAAACCATCTAAGGATAATAACCCAGACTACAAGGAAAATGTAATCCTCACCTCCCAATCCCTAAATTATCAAATATTAGTAAACATCCTAAACAAACACATATCTGAAATTTCCATAACACCTTCTTCATTATACGAGCACAAAATACCCCTTCAATAATATGGAATCCTATTTATCTTTAAGCTATTCGAAAAACGTGCTAACAATATTACTGCTTTCAAGATCAAATCAAGAACAAAACATACATAGTTTTCTCTTTTACCTAAAAAATTTAGAGATCGAAGTGTTCGAATAAGACGGCATATATGTTAAATTTCTAATAAACATACCATAACTTTGTTAAAAAAAACATGTTATGTGCATTAAATGATGAAGGGAATCCAACTGCCTAAAATGCTGTTCCATTGTCTTAACAGCAGGCTGTGCACAAATATATAAAGTTTCTTAGAAGTGAAAATTTAATATTGCAATACAGATGAGATGCAAATGCAGATACTGAAATGCATAATTGGTAAGCCAACCTCAACATAAAAGAAATCTGAACAACGCTAATCAATTCATGATTTTTACTGTATATCAAAAACCTGCTGCAGTCGTCCACCTCACGACACAATGTCATGTAACCAGCTCTAACAAAGAACTTCTTAACCATATCAGCTCTGAGCACTAACCACCGATTCTTTTTTTATTATAAACATGTTAAATTATTTTTCCATTGAATTAAGCACGCGATTGCAATAAATTCTTCAGAGTGTAATACTTAAGAAAAAAAGTTTCCCCTAATAAATCAACTAGAAAGCTCAGATAAGTTGGAACTTTTATCGTAAATCATACTGTAAAATAGCATAAACAGAGATGTTTTCCCTATAATCCTGTTCATTTTATTAGTGTAATCAATACCTTTGAAGATGGAAACAAATGAGTGCCAATGCTGCAAGACTGCTTCTCACTCGAAGGTGGACTCTTAAAACCAATGGTGCCGAAGGATGGAGATCCCCATGGAGACGAGGACTGCATGTATGACCTTGCCATCTCAATTGGTGAGCCGTCATCACCATCAAAACACTGAAGAAAACATTTAAATCAAATAAATAAAAGGTTCACTTAATGGCATAGTAAAAATTCACAGTTAACCTTTAAACAGAACACGATATCAAATTAAATGTTATAAGAATTGCATTAAGAAGTTTTCCGTAGATGCCTTGCCTTGTGTAAAAACATCAATTTGATATAATTTTTGGAGCATTCCACAAACCCTAACAATATATCTGTTCAAATGCTTCTTTTTTTTTTTGTAGAAAATTTAAAATAAGATCAGTTACGGAATTAAGGAGGCCTATGCATGAAACCAGTAAACATAGAACCATACATTGGGCACAACTAGGCCCATGGCCACAACAAACATAAAGCCTTGGTATTGAACATGTAATTTGCAATACGACGCTTCAACAAGAGATTTGATAAATAAAGCATTATAGCCAAATAAATACTCATTTCAGAATAAAACTTCAGAGAAAAAAATTAACATGAACAAGGAAGCCCAGGAAGGAATGAGTGATTTTTACTGTTTGTTGGTGGTGATGATAAAGGTTGTTTCTTGGCATGCTACCAAAAGAAGCACAGAAAAAATTTTGAAAAAAAAAAAAAAACCAAGCAAGGCTAACACAAGTGGTTATCAGATTCTAAATAGGAGTTCCTTCAAAGATATAACCTCCAAAAATGGTAAAAAATAATCCACTAGCATTATCCAAGCTCTTAAAACTATAGCAACAGATAGCAATCTGATTTAAAAATGCTTTCACTATCCACAGAAGAATAACGACAGATATTGTAAAAATAGCAAAGAAGCTATGGAAGAAAGGAATGCACTAACATATTGATTCATATCCGTATTCAAGCTGCAAGGTCCAAATTCTTGATCACATATTGGACTAGAAGACAGCTTTTTCTGTTCAAACCATTTCTTTGCCTCAAGAACAGCTTTGCTGCAAGGATCAGGGGTAACTGCTTCACTGGCATAATATCCTGGTGTAAAGACAGATGGATTACTTAGAGAAAAACCAGAGGTTCCAATTACATTCCTGTTCGGGTTCCACAACTGCCATGGTCTTTTGTCAGAAAAACTTTTAGGAACCTCATTCTGAGCGCGCTCACCACCTTTAGCAGACGGGATGTCAAGTACCCGTGATCGAAGTATTGTCATAAGTTTTCCATATTCAGCTCTGGTTAGAAAATAGTAAAGAACACAATCAGGTTCGAGCAAAATAAATTTGCATCAAACTCAAAGCAAAATAAGCATTGATGCGTTCATTATATATCAAATAATTCAATTATACCATTTAAAAAGCATGTTATTCAACAATATTTACATTCTAAGAAAAAGGCATCTAAGTTTTTACCTGATAAACCTAACACACGTTAAGCTTAATCAAGACACATAAAATACACAGATCCATCGTCAAACCGATCAGTAAGACTAAGGAAAGAAGAAAAACTTCGCAGGCAGTAACCTCTGTTTGTTCTTCTCAACATAAGTGACATTAATTAATAAGAAAATTAGAGCCATAATGTGAAATTATTTTCATAGAACTTAATATGTTTCATAAACAATGCAAGAATTGGAAGCCGAGTGACTATTTGATAAAAATTGGCTCTTCAATGATTGTTCTGATACGGGCATCCCTAAAAAGAAGTAAGCCAAAAAACATGTGTTGAGCACATATTGACGAGCACAATGAGGATTTCATGGGGTGAAGCGATGTATTTTTGTGAAAATAGAAAAGAAGACTACTTTACAAAACACACAAAAAAACAAATACATAAGATATGGACTATTAGCTACCTCGTAAAGGTTTCCTGCATAAGCAACTGCTCAATAACAAGCTTTGAGTCACTTTTGGAAACAATAGCCAGAGGCTCCACATTTCCATCCACCACACTTTTTCTCTGCTCATAAAAACAATAAAATAATTTAGTACAAGGAAAAGAACAATAAGCAAAAGAGGAAGATTGATGATGGTGGTGATGATGATGGTGAGCACATAAACTACAAGAAAACATGATAAAAAGAGGCAACCATAGCAAAAGAAGGGAGAAAAACACACAAACTAGATAAGCTATCAACATATGAGGGTGAAGGCTTGTATATTGTTGGCATTTTGGTTGTCATGTTTCAAGATGGATTCATGGCTTTTGAGAATAATAACTTACCTTATTGAATTCAGCTAATCCGTCAGAAAGCAAGTGATCCACGTGTTTATCTGCATGGGAAAAGAGAAAGGTTACTAAATTTTTAATGGTGTTGGCCTATAATACAGTAATAGGCTCTTCTGCTAATAGGCTAGATATGGCTAAGACGGTTTGGTGACATGTTCCCACATTGGTAGCATGCTGAATGATGGGTGAGGTGGAATAGGTGTGAGTAGTTATAATGATTTTTCTGCACTGCGACAACCCATTAGGAAATGTATGAAATCACAATGCATGTCTATTTTTTCTCCCAAAAGGGAAATAGCAATAAACTGATTTTTAGGAGGATTACCTTCAATGAGAAGAAATACAGCAAAAAACAAGATATATATCAATTTAACCAAAAGATCAAAATTCACATTATAACGTTTAGAAGCTAGAGGACATCGAATTAATAGAACAAAAACTAAGTATATGATATTCAATTGTAGGAGCCATGATATTGATAATTATTAATCAATATTATTAGATGAAAATGTGATATCTTCAAATATCTTGGATCTATTACACATACGATATGAGTACATATGAGGTTATAACATCTAGAGTAAAAGTTGAATGATTAAAATAGAGAAATGTTTAAAGAGTATTATGCAGTCTAATGATATCATGGACGCTTAATTTATAAAATTATAATTAAGCAGAAATGTTGTATGGAGCAAATGTTGGATGATTAAAAAGTCCTTGATGGTTAAATTATGTATGGAGAAAATGAAAATGTTAAAATGGATGTGATAAACTTAAAAAATATAAAGACTAATATATCAGAAGAAAAGTCACAGTTGCATCTATTAAGGTGGTAAAAAATAGGAAAAGGTGATCTCAACATGTATAACAAAGAATGGAAACTACTCCCATTAGACAGAGAAAATAAAGGTCAGCAATTATCAAGGATTTGTGACAGTTTCACACGTCATACAACATTTGAGGAATGAATAAAGGAATTATAATTTATAAAGTCAATCCAAAAAAGTTGATGCATGTGTGTCTATATACATTAGTGAATACCAAAAAGCAAGATTCCATCTCCATGCAATTTTTTTAATCGATATCAATAGCTTCAAATATAAGATTAGGAGATTGATTGATATTAAACTATATCTTCCCAAATATTTCGGGATCTAATTGAACACTTTCTAAGCATACTTTCACATAGATAAACTTGATGAAGAAATGGATATCTTTGATTATTCTTCATTAAAAATGCCACTACTTCATATCTTTTTTAAAAGATAAAACATTAAATTTATTATGAATCTCAAGATATATACTCACAAAAATATCACTTTATTTTATCAGTTCTAGAATAAAAAAGTGATGAATCTCATCTCACAATCTAGGTCCTCCATAAAATGTTGGGGCATTTACATAAATAGCACACAATTCTTATCTATTTACATATCTCATACCTAAACTTTCATGTTTACACACATAGCACTCACATTTTTAATATCACATAAAAAATAACCCTATTACCACCTTTTAAAAGTGAAATACACATTTTCATACATAGGTTTAAAACACCAGTGTTATTTGTGTAAATATGAAAGTTAAATATGAAAGTTTAGGTGTGATGAAAGTTTAGGTGTGAGATGTGTAAATACATAAGAATTGTATGCTTCATACGTAAATTTCCCTAAATTTTTTTATCTGAAATCGAGATGGAAGGCTTGTGAAACTGGTTGGACTTATCTAGGGCAAACTTAGGATTTCTATGACAAGCATGATGGGATTAAGTTACTTCTCCAAAATAGAGGATGAGCTGGAGAATTTGCTCCTTGGGATTATGAACTAATGGGACATTGGATGGCATGCCGAGGAGAGAGATAAAAAGAGTCTAAATAAATCATTTGTCTAAGAGTTGGAGAGGAGAGTGAGAAAATGAGAAGGAAAATATTTCAAAAGCCATATCTATTTACTAAAAAAAAAGAGTCAAATTATATTTATCCACAGGTAAAAAATCTTTATCTGAAATTTCCTACAACAATTCAAATTTGGGCAGCCATTTCTTAAAAAATAGCTACCAATTCGTAGATTAGCAGGTTAAGAGATTGCTAGCTATTTAAAATAAAGGAAATGGATTTTGTGTAACAAATAAAGCGGAATTGATTACCCGCATATAAATATCTCTCCTAATCCTAATTCTGCCCCCCCCCCCCCCCCCAAATCACGATTTTGAAATTCCCTCTTCATTTTACATTTACAAATCTATCCTTCCAAGTTTAAACTTTTTTCTTGAGAGCCTCCTTGATCGATGCTACGATTGCATGCTTGATGCAATGCCAAATCATCTGAACTTTTCATAATATTTGATGTCCTACTATGTTGCTTGACATAAATTAAGAGGTTTAGCAGAATAATAATAATTCAAAATCAAAATTAACCAACCCTTCAACATAAGAAACTAGTGGTATCACAATTTCAAGGAATTTTCATGATCAAATGGGTGCATCAAAATTCTAATGTCATTGAAAGCAGGAGAGGATAATTGTGATTCTCAATGCATAAAGTATTACAAGTGGAATGAAAGCAAAAAAAATATGTTGTTAATGGTATTTAGAAAGTATTAAAAACATTTGATTGGGATGATTCATGCACAAAGCAAGACTTCCAAAGTATGATGAAAACTTCTAAGTATGATGAAAATCAATGAAATACAATTTTGTGTGTCACACACTTGATGAAAACTTCTAAGTATAAATACATACATACATACATACATATATATATATAATCATCATCATGACATCAATTCTTCGCAAATCATTATGAACAACTTCTAGTCATGTAATCTTAAGTCTGCTTCTTTCTTCCTTCATCCTTTGACACTAACTTTATTAAATCACTTATCAAACACATTACTATCATGAAATTCAATTATTTATAATTTGCATATGCTAGAAAAAATTAATGGTGTGATTTTGATTTTTTAGTAGTCGCCAAAATTAAATTAAAAGGAAAATAATGATTTTTCATTTAAGAGTTTCATATATATATA